GTACCTCCTCATCTTTGGGACCAACTGTCCCCAGGCCTAGCCACAAGCTAGGCCTCTCTGGTCTGCCATCCGCCCCCAAGGGGGCAAATGGGAATGACAGTCTTATGAGCTAAAGGCTCGGGCTCAGGCACCTACCCTACCCTAGAAGGGTGAGGCATGGTGTCGATCTACAATGATTTATGTATAACCATCGGATACAGTGACTCTGCACACGCTGAGGCAAACAAATTGCTTCATTATATATACAAATATGGTAATGCAAAGGCCCTTAAAGCTTTCATATAGACAAAGTTTGGTTTAATGTTTCAGAAGCGAAACATTGCTCGAATTATTACCCGTTATATATTTATATTACTTTATCTGTTGGCATATTTTTGCCTATGAAATCACGTTTGTATGAGCGAAAACATTTCGTGAAAAATTCATACTATATATACTTTAAAGTACACACAAACACTCCTCTAAATAAACTCAAATTAAGTTGTTATAAATAACTCTCAATGAAAAAAACAGAAGGGTGGGCGAGGGGCTCGAATCGCGGTTCAAGACCCTCGTCTACCTTTTTGTATATTCACTCCTTCAAATACATAACACAGTCACTCTTAAATATACATCGCTTTCTCCAGTGCACTCACAATCCTTTCTTATACTACACTCATTTTCTCAATTATTCTCACAGAATTCGCCCTTCAAAAACAGACACAGTTACACCTCTAAATGTTGATACAAACACTCCCTCAAATCCAAACACAAATACTTAAATATCATCACACAATTATATTTCCTTAAATAATGACATACAGTCACTCTCTTCAATACTTAAACATAATCATTCCCCTAACTACTCACAGATAATCATTTTCACAAATGTACTCACATACTCACTACTTCAAGTACACACTATTACTCAAATTCTCACAGGCAATTACTCAAATACACACAAATTACATATAGGACAGTATCTCCACAGACTGTATCGCATAAGGTGTATTATACCGAGAAACGTATACGAGGGACACTTGAACTTACCGATCTCCTGGAGCGATACATATCTGAAGAAAAATTTCTTAACGTTGCACATGTGTCTTTCTTAAGCGTCCACATATATCAATGATAAAATGCGAAATCATAAGCACACAAGGAAAATATTATGGTACTAACACGATGATCTGAAATCCACAGGAGAGAACACTGACGGTCATGTTGATGTCGTTCCTCTCTGGTACCACGTGCAGCGCTGTATAGCCCTTGTGGCTTAGCGCTTCTTTTTGATTATAATAATAATAATCTGGTACCACGCTGCACGCTTCTTCCTTGTCTGTGAAAACAGAGGTACACTGTACCAACACAATGGATATAATAAGACAGAAAAGCATTATGGAACGTTTGTTAATTAGCAACATTTGCTCATGCCGTTCACAAATAAAGATTCCATACCGAGTCCGTGTCATATTTTTCAACCACTCCTATGAGAACATCATGTCAGTATGTCTCCTGTGAGAACATCATGTCAGCATGTCTTCTGTGAGAACATCATTTCACTGACTGTAAGCAGAAAGTCTTCGGAATACAAACAAGGCGGAATAAAATAATGCAACATAATATAATTAGTGGCTATATTATACTGGCTCTGAGTGGGAAAAAGTTTTAAATCAAGCGAATCTCTGTCCTGCATAAAATTTCTACACTAGATTTAATTGTCTCATTGAACTGCAATGTTACTGTCTACTGCACAGACACATGACCTGCTGAGATTCCACTGTAGACCGTTCAGATGTGTAAGAAAAAATATATTTGATGTTTTTTTTTCAACTAGGCGGCCTCTTAATTACTATAAATTAAAGGGTGATACAGCTCATGGAAGTCAGTCATATTTAATGGGAGGAAGAGTACAGTAGCTCTAATTCCTTGGTTCAAGGTACCAGTGGTCGCAACAACAGATCCACTTCACGCTGTCAAAAGAAACTCAAAACACAGTAGAGATAAGTCAAAATTTCCCTTCGACTAGGGTTTTATGTTGCTGCTGAAGGTCTCTTGATTCAAGAGATTGGAACAATCCTCTCCTTCCTCGAATCGAATCTGGTACCCTTCCATTCTCTAAGTGCGATACCTAGACGGTTAGTGCTTCTACACGTAGTATATTCTAATATATCAAAATTTGCACTTATTTTAGATTAGGTAAGGTTCGTCCTAAGACCCGCGTCAGGACAAGTGTTTCCTGACGCGGGTCTTAGGCAGATGATGGCCCGCCATTGGAGCTTTAGGTCATCTGACAGAGGCCTTCCACTGGCTTACCAGTTCACCCCTTTAAAAATTTTTAGTTATTCTTTTTACTTATTTTTAAGATACATAGTAGTGACGGTTTGTTGCTACATGTTTGTTGTGAGTTGAGTAATTTGCTTATACATATTCCTAGAAGATGTATCAGTGGATCTCGTAAAGAAGTGTTATATTAAAGAATATGAACACAATAATAAATATCATTATTATACGGGGAACTGGAGGTAACCAGGATTTATCCACGACTGGATTAAGAGTCTTTTACCAATAATAGTTTTCCGGATATTGATTTGTAGCTATAATCATGACTGGCATCAGCTGGACATAACAGATATATCTGAAGCGT